CTGGAACGTGTGCTTCACTAAAATAGCTGCAGTGATCTGGATAAATTGAATCAATGCGTTATGCAAGGTAAGAGGTCAACAGACAATTGCTAGCCCAGATCATCCCATCCAGCACAACAGACTATAAACACGAGTCACTGCCTAGAACTGATCCACATGGATCTCATTGGTCCAACCCAAACAGAAAGTTTTGGAGGTAAGAAATACATTATGGTATCTGTTGATGATTATTCACGCTTTTCGTGGGTTATTTTTCTCAGGGAAAAATCTGAAGCTTTTGAAGCTTTCAAAACGCTTGACTAAAACTGCAGAAAGAAAGAAACGAAGATATTATCCGAATTCGAACTGATCACGGGCGGGAATTCGACAGCAACTTGTTCGATGTCTTCTGCAATCAAACAGGAATTACCCATGAATACTCAGCTCCAAAGACACCTCAACAAAACGGAGTAGTTGAAAGGAAAAATCGCATTATCCAAGAAATGGGTAGGGTGCTGCTCAACGCTAAGGAATTACCTCAAAGATTCTGGGCAAAAGCTGTGAACACTGCGTGTCACATCATCAATCGAGTATATCTTCTACCTGGCACAAATCAAACTCCATATGAATTATGGAAAGGTAAGAAGCCAAACATTAAATATTTTCACATTTTTGGCTCACGTTGCTTTATTTTGAAGGATAGAAATCCTGTCGCAAAATTCGAGCCGAAAAGCGACGAAGGGATCTTCCTCGGATATTCAACAAACAGCCGGGCATACCAAGTATACAATAAAGTAACCAAGACCATCATGGAGTCCACAAATGTAGTAGTTGATGATCAACCAAAGGAGGTTATTGAGGTCTCACAACTTGAGCCAGTAACATAACCTGATCCAGAGCGTCCAGAATCGCCTGAGTCCGGTTTAGGATCATCTACGTCATCTCCCACAACTGCACAACCTGACCCAGAACCAGAATCAGAATCTGATCAGGAACAAGACGAAATTGACATACCAACTCGTATCCATAAAGACCATCCTATACAAAATATCATTGGGGATCTTAGTTCAGGTGTTAAAACTAGAGGAAAACCGAAACATGATTATCTTCAAATGGCTGGATATTCCTGCTACACATAAAAAATTGAACCAAAAAATGTCAAAGAAGCACTGACAAACGAACATTGGATCAAGGTCATGCAAGAAGAACTAGGGCAATTCGAAAGAAACAAGGTATGGGTTCTAGTTCCTAAACCTAACAATGTAAATGTTGTCAGTACCAAGTGGATATTTCGAAACAAAACTGACGCAGCTGGTAACATCGCTCGAAATAAAGCACGTCTTGTAGCCCAAGGTTACTCTCAAATCGAAGGGATCGACTACGACGAAACCTTTGCCCCTGTCGCTCGCCTAGAATCAATTCGTCTACTTCTTGCTATTGCTTGTGCTTTAAACATTAAACTCTTTCATGTGGACGTTAAGACGGCCGTTTTAAATGGTTATCTCTCTGAAGATATCTACGTAGCTCAACCAAAAGGGTTTGAAGACCCACATCACCCTAACTATGTGTACAAGCTAGAAAAAGCTCTATACGGCCTCAAATAGGCCCCGAGAGCCTGGTATGAAAGGTTTGCTCAATATCTTCTTCAATACGGCTATAAACAAGGAGGATATGACAAAACTCTATTCATCAAACGGTCAGGTAAACACATAACTATTGCACGGGTTTATGTTGATGACATTTGGATCCACACAGACAGGTGCAACGGATCAACTAGTCAAATTCATGCAACAAGAATTTGAAATGAGCATGATCAGAGAGCTGACTTATTTTCTTGGGTTGCAAGTCAATCAGTCAACAGAAGGCATTTTTATATCACAAGAAAATACGCAAAAAAAAAAAAAAAAAGAAAAAAAAAAACCTTCTATCAAAATTTGGTCTTGAATCGACGAAGGACGCTCGAACACCTATTTCACCGATAACAAAACTATTCAAAGATGAAAACGGAGCCTCAGTCAACCCTACCTTGTACAGAAGCATGATAGGCAGTCTATTATACTTAACAGCTGGTACACCGGACATCATGTTCAGTGTCGGTATGTGTGCACGATACCAAGTGAACCCAAAAGAGTCACACTTGAAGGCGTTAAAACGTATTATAAAATACGTTAAAGGTTTGCTCAATTACGGTATTTGGTATTCAAAAGACACTAATCTAAGTCTTGCAGGATTTAGCGATGTTGATTGGGCCGGAAACGCTGATGACAGAAAAAGTACGTATGGCGGATGTTTCTTTATTGGAAAGAACCTTGTAGCCTGGCTCAGTAAAAAGCAGAATTCAATCTCGCTCAGTACTGTAGAAGCTTAGTACATAGTTTTGGGTAGTTGTTGCACACAACTACTTTGGATGCGTCAAATGTTATCGGACTATGGTTTAGATCAAACAAATATGATACTTTTCTGTGACAACACCAGCGCAATCAACATCTCCAAAAACCCGGTTCAACATTCCCGAACAAAGCACATGGACATTCGCCATCACTTTATTCGTGAACTAGTCGAAGAAAAAGAAATAATTTTAAATTATGTTTCCTCAGAAAAAAAATCTAGCAAACTTATTTACAAAACCGTTGGACAAATCAAGATTTGAATTACTTCGAGCTGCTCTTGGAGTCTGCAATCCCATGGCTTAAATCCTTCATACAGCCTAGGTATCACCAATAAATTCACTTACTTTATTTTCATACATGTGTTATTTCTTTTTGCAGAATTAAACCAAGAATCTTGCGTAATAATCGGCCGTATACTGCTCCAAAAGTCCATCTTACCTTAACAATTTTAATTCCACTCAAACCTTCCCTTTAATTCCAAACAAATCCATCATCTTCTCCTAATTTAACTCTACAACCTAGACTTAAAGTGCTTGTCATCTCATCCATCACATCCCATCCTACACGCCTTTTGAGAAACCTCTTAAACCCCAACATCATAATTTAATTTTTTTGTCTCCTCTTGCTTCATCTCTACGCCGAGACCAGACACACCCATTCATCTTCTTCCTTACACACTTCCACCATTACCAAACCTTCAAAGCTTCAACAATGGAGAATCCCTTCATCACTTATACATCCTCCACTAAAAGACTTGACCTCTTTCGAAAAATAATTTATGCCGATTCCCCTCTCTCATCTGAAGCTACGGATCGTGTACAGTAAGGGAGAGTAGTAGTTATGGTATGTTTTGTCTTGACTCTGATGGCTGCATATGGTATGACTTTTGGTTCTACTACTCTTATGGAAATAGCATGTGGTAAACCTCTGACTATATCACTCCCTGATTATGCAATTAATGGTTTATATCTCTTCAAAATGAAGCTTTTATTTAGCTTATATTATATCTGTTGTGTGGTATTCTGGGAAAATTCCTTTATTCTGAATTGTGACATCTCATGGATTAGTCGAAAGTACAGGTTCAGTGAATTATAATGGTTACACGGATGGAACATGGTCCAAAAGAGTTTTTGTTTAAATTGAATATTTTCTCATTAAGGTATTGTTTAGTACATATACTAAGGGACTTAAATAAAATTACTTTGTTTCTATTAGTTTGCCCAAAGTATAAGATACTATAGTTTTACCAAACAAATTGCCAAAGGGGGGATTGTAAGTGTACAAATTTAGTACACATTAAAATCTTTGTTGGCTAATTTAATTAGTTTTAATTTAATTAAATTTAAGTTAGGTTAAAACTCTTTGAACCACTTCCTATCATATAGTATGTTTTTGAATGGATATCATTTATTGCTTGTTTAAAGAAAGGGAAGTCAGCCAAGCGCATAATGTGTGGCTTTCAAATAAAATGTGTGGCTGAGGTTCGTTGAAGACTATAGGATGTTGGCTATGTGGATCAAGGTGATGGGTTATTTATTACTATAAAAAGAAGTCATCTTATTTTAGAAAGTTACTGAATTCAGAAGTGCTATATTGAGAGAAATTAAGGCATTCTACACAAAGCTTTTATATTAATCTCTTTTATTATATTATTTCTTGAGAATTTAAATCTGAACTGCATAGTCAATACCTGAGACAACTGAAGCTTCGCTTGAAGATTGTTATGGCATGCACGGTTCTGTACTGAGTAGGTGTTAGGAAGGATTGTGGTAGTAACGGTTGATAGCCATTTGTACTTACCTATTGTATAACTCCTTAGTGAACATCTATAGTGTGTAACTCAAAACTGCGTAACAATTTCCTTGTGTTCTTGTTTTATTTTATGCTTTCAATTTCAGTTATTTATATTTGATTAAATAACCTAATTAATGAACGTGATTGTTACATAACATAAAATCAAGTAGAATTCTAAGTTACATCTTGCATTCAAGATTCAAGGTGCAATTTCATATGGCCAATTTGACCCTTATTCTAAAATATTATTTCAATCTCTCTATCACTTAGCTCCCTCTTTACTGCTTGATTGAACTCTAACACACTATTTTCTTACATTTGCAAATTAAATCATCTAATAAAACATGATACAAACAAATTTGTCTAGTACGATCCTTCCACGGTAAATACTTTGATAAAATCATTGGTTTGATTAGTTTTGCATAGTAATTTCAAATGAAGTTTTACATATTTATCAAATACCATATATCATTTGATGACATGAAAGATGTTAAAGCCCCCTTAATCCATTAGTTTCAGTATTGCATTTGGTGTTCCCTCCATATATAGGATGAACGAAATGGAAGCTTGACCAATTTCAAAAACACTAATTTGTAAAGAAAGAACTCTGTAGTTATAATCATTTACAAATAACCAACTTGGCTATAACCTAAATACAAGTAAAAAAAGAAAAAAAAAAAAAAAAAAAACTGACAATTATAATTATCTAAACAATAATTATCAAGAACATTAAACTAGACATTGTCACATGTAGAAATGGTTATATTGCAAAAGAAACCTTCCATTTGGCACAAGCAGATATTTTTATATTGTCAAATTGTCATTTGGCACCTCACTCAAACCAAAGCGCGTAAGTTCAACAGAAACATACCCATTAAATAACAACAGTTTCTACTTTTGTGGAGGCACGAGAAAAATGCAAAACAACAATTTCTGCTTTTGTGGAGGCACAAGGAAAATGCAAAAGTTGTTGCTTAATTCCAAACATGAACTCCTTTGTTTGGTTATTAAGTGCGGCAAAAATAATGAAAACCTTTTCAAGCGCTGAAAAACAGGCAAGTACCTCCTTAATGAAAAGAATTTCAGACTGCAACCCCATAAATGAGGTAAACTTCAAAGCACGAAGCATTTTATTTGTTTGTGCCACGCCTTAAAGTTTTGACAAGAGCTCCAAAAAGACACCATTATATCTAGTTGACATCTCCTCAAGCTATAGAAAACCATCATACAAAGGAAAAAAAAAAAAAAAAAAAAATAACTCAATCGAATTAGCAATTACACAACACAATTAAATTTAGGAATGCATAACAATACATTAAAAAAAAAAAAAAAACACTAAAATATCAGTGAACAGATGGGCAATTTGTCCATGAAAATAAAGATTACCCCATATACATCCATGTCAAGTCTGCATAACTTGGGGCATGATTGCAGCAAATGAACAAGTGCAGGAATTATTGTATTACTTTGGCAATAAAATGATAGCTTAAGGCTTTCCACATTTAGTTGAAATCCCATCCTACTAATTTCTTCAACAAATTCCTTGGATTAGTTCCCTAAAAAAATAATACTCCATATATAAATAATAGCCTGATATAAGGGGAAAAAAATATGGCTAAATACCTGGATATTTGAATATTGCAAATTCAGAGTAGAAATAGATCTCAAGTCCAAATTAACCGGAAGAAATTTGTCCAAACAATAAGAGTAGCAAGCTTCGATTGTTAAATCACATAGCTTTGGAGCAGTCATGTTAAAATTAAAAGTGTTTTCACACCAACAAATTAACAGACTCTCAAGTACAGGAACATCAATGGCACAAGGTGAAGGGTTTATAGGATCAAATTTAACATGATCAAAACTAAGCAAAGTAACATTTGGTAGTATGTTGGGAGAATTCATTGGTTGAACAACGACATAAGCAAGATGCAAGGACATAAGCAAGATGCAACCTCTTGAGTGTTGAACAAGAAAATATATAATTCGGCAGCTTGTATATATTATACCCAAGACTAATCTTCATTTCCTCAACACCTTTCCGTGTAACTAAAAGTAACCATTGGTCGAAGTCATAAGACCAAGACTTAACTATGAATATCCCAACATCAAGAATTTTGAGAACAAATTTCTGAATTGCTCCATTGTGCTGGGGGAGAACTTTGTTGATCACATAAAAACCCGCGGCAGATTCTGTGACATAATTGCTAGCACGATAATGTTTCTCATCCATATAAGAAAAGAAGTGATGATCAAAGTTAAGTTGTGTGAGATTGGACCAAACATCTCTCCAAACGGAAGACAGAACAGCGGTTTTAGCAGCATCTTTAATAGGCAAAAATTCCAAGATGTGATCAAGTATTTCTACAGGAAGTTGACTGATTCTATCTCTCCCCGGTTCCATTATCCAATAACCTTAACATATATGCAAATTAAATAACAAATGAATCAAAAACTAAAAACACAGTCAAAAACTAAATTGCAAGTCTTAAACACAGACAGACGTGATTATGCCAATTAAGAAAACGAATATAATACATGGAGTATGAGAGGTAGAAATAAGAAACAAAACAATCCAATTCAGAAGAAAAAAATTGCTTGCATTCAAGTTTAGTAAACACAGATTAAACATTTGATCCAAAATTTTTTAAAAACCATAATTTAATTCACAAAATATATATATATCAGCCATACCTATCAAGTAAACACCTGGTAGAGTAGCTAGTAGCTAGAATGAATCTAATAGGATGTTATTCACGGTGAAGTTGTATGCCGGAGATTGTTTGTCGGACAAGGCGGCGAGAAACGAAGAGGATAATCGAACTATGGGAGACTGGGGGTTTGCTAATTTGCTTCACCTTTCGCTTCTAGGCTTCAGCCCTACAGAAATCGCATATTTAATTTAGAGTAAAAGACATTTTTAGTCCTAGATTTATAGTGGCACGGACAATTGTAGTCCTCTTCAAAAAAATTAGATAATTTATGGACACTCTTATTGTGATGAGGACAATTTTGGTCCTCCATCAATATTTTCGTTAAATGCCTGTTTGAGCGGGGGTAATTTTGTCTTTTCAACAACATACCTCCTTCTTCTTCACTTTGCAGCCCATTTCATTGTCGTTCTCAGCCAACCATCAGACCCAAAGAGAGATGAAGTTCCAGTGGTCTAAACAATTTCCTTTGGGTTTAATTCAACAATTTCCTTATGCTCTAAGGTGCAGAATTGTGAAGCAGAGAGGTGCAGAATCGCGAAATAGAGCCGATGAAAAGTCAGAATCGTGAAGCAGGATCGGAACAGCGATTGCCTGCGAATGGAAATCAAGGTACAATTTCTGATAATCTAGGTTCAGCTACGCAAAGGAAACACGAAGGCAAGCCTATTGTCTCAATTAAGGAATCAGATTGGGAAAATCTAGCAGAAAAAAAAAGAGAGGAAACTAACCTTGATTGGCAAGTTTTTGAAGGAGAAGCCCACAATTGAAGCAATTAGGGCTCAATTTCTGAAAATCCTTCCAATTACAGGCAAGGCGCACATCGGATCTCTTGATTCGAGAAATGTTCTCATTAAATTTACAGAGGAAGCAGATTGTGTGAAGGTATTAGCAAAAAATAGAGTGGAAATTGAAGAAAAATGGATATCCTTTTAACAAATTCTTTCACGATTACGATTACCTTTCGTCACAATGTCGTCGTTGTTCGGAGGTCCGCTGACTACTTTCGAAGATTCCGAAAAGGAAAGCGAGTACGGATACGTCCGCAAGGTTCTCCTCCTCGTTTCGATCCGTACCTCTACTCTTATTTCATTTTTTTATATATCCATTTAAATTTTAATGCTCATAATAAGTGTTTGAATTGCGGATTCCATATCCATGTCTAATCTGAATGGCTATCTTTTTTATCTTATTACTCACTGTATTTTGTGTAGTTGCTTATGCAATTTGCATTTGAAGTTTTTATTTTACTAGGTGGATGCTCTGTTGTTTGTAGTTGAGATGAGCATTTGAAGATTTGAATTTACTAAGTGGCTGCTCTGTTGTTTGTAGTTGAGATGAGCATTAGTTACTTCATTCTGCTACTGTTGATGATTTGTTCGATTGTGATTTTAATATTGATGTTTGGACTATGACCTTGTTTCCATCCTTCGACGACCAACACTGTAAGTAAAGAAGTAGAGTGAATGATGATGAAGAATGAGGTAGGATGAAAAGACGCAATTACCCCTTCTCAAATGAGGCATTTAACAGGAAGAGTGAGGAAGGACTAAAATTGTCCTCGTCACAATAAGAGTGTCCACAAATTGTCTGATTTTTTTATTGAGGATCAAAATTGTCCGTGCCACTATAAGTCTAGGACCAAAAATGTCTTTTACTCTTTAATTTATTCAAAAAAATTTGCTATCAGGTGTTAATATATTATCAGTTTTTAACTAGCTATTGGCGTGAACGTTCGTGCATTTTATCACTTGATAGACAATTGTTATGCCGTGGAATCGTATCCACGGACCACGGTTTTATGTTCATAATTACTGAACTCTACGTTCATAATTATAAAATTCTATGTTCATAATTTTGAATTTCATATTCACAATTATTGAACTCTATATTTACAATTACAGAACTCTATATTCATAATTACTGAACTCTATGTTCATAATTATAAAACTCTATGTTCATAATTATAAAATTCTATATTCACAATTATGACAATTTTAAAATCGTGTCCACCTTGCAACGTGGACACGATTCTACAGCATAATTTGTCCTTACCGAGATCGGGAGTTTGAAAAAATAAAAAAATAAAAAAAAATAACCAATTTGGTTATGTGTTCATTGGCCCAATTGTTCCATTTGTTTTATAGTAATGCAAAATTGCAAATATTCCTTTTTTTTTTCATGGATTCCACAAAAAGATTCAACTTCCTGTAAAAAATTTTCGAGTAATGCTAAAGACCCTCCAATTCATCCCTCATGATGTAACAACATCTCATTGGTAGCTAAATTCTATTTTGAATTAGTAGTGTAGTAAATTAATTCATGACACCCAATGAATGAATACCACATCGGGAGAAAAATATTTGAGATAAAATTTATGAGGGAAATAAAACATTTTCCTTTATTTTATTCTCTCTAGTAACATTCTCTCCAAATCTCCAATCCACCTCACACTCTCTCCCTCCCTATAACCAAAAACCCCAAGAAAAAACTTATGATGTGAATCAATCGTTATACCGTGCACCAGGGCGCACATAGGCTCCACACCTCCCAAAACAACGTTGTTTTGTTAATTTCAGATATAAAATTCTGTGCATTCTATTATATAATTCTATACATTCGAAACATGAAAATTTTCAGTTATAAAATTCTGTGTTTCCAGGTATAAAATTCTGTATTTTCAGGTATATAATTTTGTACATTCAAAATATGGATTTAAAAAAAAAAAAAAGATTTTTTTAAACAAATGAAAAGGATCAAGAGAAGAACAAAGGGATAGTGAAGATTATATAGGTCAAAAACCCTAGAAAGCTTGTCAATGATTGGTGGAGGACAAAATAGTCTTTTTTTCTATAGGAACAAGGGAGTAAAGGCATATGGTCCACCTTGCTACATGGACCATAGTCTTAGAAAGGTAATTTTAAATAGTTTGGGGGTCAACAATAGATTTTCTAAAAATAGTTTTATTTGAAACACTTGGTTCAGGTTTCACAGTTTCTTTCGGTTTCACTCAGATTGACTTTTGGGTCAAAACTTGGTACATAATGTACTCGAGAATTTAGGATTTTCAAAATAGAATAATCTCGGTGTTGAATTTATTTAAAACATAGCTCAAATTATTTAATTCAAACACCGTTTTCTTCGTAAAAACAATTTTGGAAGAGTGAAAAATGGCTATTTTAGAATTTCTTAAAACAGAATTTAGAAAATTAAATTTTGGGTTGTCACAACGGCGGTCTGGATGCGGTTGAGAAGGACGTTTTTCGGAACGTTCATGAACCGGTTCACGGTCAGTACGATTTTTCCGACAACCACAATCTCATTAGGTTTATTAAAACTGTAGGCGATGCCGGAATGTACGTTGTTCTCCGTAGGGGCCCGTATGTTTGCGCTGAGTGGAATTATGGAGGAATTTCGGTATGGTTGCACAAGTTGCCCGGCATTAATGAGCTCCTTACTGCCAACGTAGTGTATGGACCTTGTGGAGCTACTGGAGAAGCTTACATATCTAAATTTGTGGAAAAGGGCTTATACATACAAAGATGGAGCGCTATACTGTTGAAGATGCGTACGACATTGTCAACTTTGCAAAAATGAGAGGCATCAATATTATGGCAGAGGTAGATGTTCCTGGTCACGTAGAATCATGGGGAATCCTTGCAAACATGAGGAAGAATTTTCCATTTGAGCTCTTTCACTTAGGTGGTGATTAGGTCAATGCAAATTGTTGGACCTCTACTTCGCATGTGGAGCAGTGGCTTGAAGATCATAATATGAATGCTAAGGATGCATATCAATGTTTTGTGCTCAGAGGACAAGAAATAGCAATATCACAAAATTTGACACCATTTAACTGGGAGGATGTAACACCCCACTTTTTCTAAATATTAATTATAAATCTAAACCACGATTAACATAAACTAAGTAACGAAGAAACAACTTAATAAGTAAACTAGTGGGAATGTTACCGCCACTCCGTGGTGATTGCACAGGCTAAGGATAGAACTAGAAATAAAACTAAAATAACTAACATTCATAAAACTAAATCGAAAATCATAAGGGGGAAACACACCCCGATGTCTACATCATCAAACATCATCAAACAACATCAGTCTATAAATTCGACAAATTAACATCATGATAAAATTACTATGAGTTCAGACTACTAGAACTACTAGACTAGTCTAACTCGATCACCTCTCAACGTTGGGCCCACCTGAAAGGGGTTTTACAAACAACACATAGACAAATAGGAAAACACATGTTAGCACAAAGCTAAGTATAACCACACTCAACCATGTAAAGTACTATAGAATATACTTTGGAAAACGTTTGATAACATTCATAAACAACAATCTCATCTCATAGGCAACTACAAACACACCACATACTTTCTATATACTTGCAACCACTGTTGCAAAAATCGCGCCTAGGCGCTCTAGGCGCCCTAGGCGGTCCCCAGGCGCCTAGAGGGCGCCTAGCGATTTTTTCAACATTGCTTGCAACCTATAATATCAAAATGCATGCTTCAATACAAATGACTTAACAACATAAAGATATTTCAACACATAAACATCACTACAACATTATCAAATCGAATTTATGCTTACAAGTAATTTCATACTAATACACCATACGAAAGTTATCTTCATGCTTTCAAGTTCTCATCATGTAAACGGGATATACAAGACTTCAAAATGTAACAAAACAATCATGCTCGATATACAATTTTAAATCAACATTCTCATTATGCAATCTCATGCGATACTCTACTCAAATGCAATCTCGTGCAATACTATACTCATATGCAATCTCGTGTAATGCTATAAATATACTCATATGCAATCTCGTGCAATACTATAAATATACTCATACACTCGTTGTAAAATAGAATACTTTCTGTGGAAGTCTCATTGAATCATAAATGACTTGCTTTCTTTCTTTCTTTCTTTCTTTCCTTAGAGTCGCAATGACTCACTTCTTTCTTTCTTAGAGTCGCAATGACTCATTCTTTATCTCTTAGAGTCGCAATGACTCATTCTTTCTCTTTAAATGGACAAGGTAGGAACTTCATCATAGTGTGAATGAACCTATCCGGGCACGGCATCTAGCCGACCTAATACTCTACTCGTCCACCGAACCACTCTCTTGGTTCTATGCTCAAACTCTGTGAAATCAGATATTGAACTATCAACGTGCACACCCCCTGACCAGGATTCCAAGCCTGGCGGACAGTTTCCAACCTCGAAACGTGAGAATACACCGCGTTACATATACTGGGACCGCAATGTCCATAAAATTATCCGAGAGGACATAGTCCAAACAGGGCCCTCCAAAACCTCACTGATATAGATAATACATAAATATATCTCTCATGCATGCAACATCTCAACAACTTCTCAATGCATCAAATAATGATATACCACATGCTTATGGATTTTGAAAGTAATACTTTGGCTCACGTTGGCCACTTATGCACTTTTTAAAACATGATATACTTGAGATGCAACAATATTCTACAACATGCTCCAATTATCATGTTCAATTGTTCTTTTGACCTTCATAGATGGTGGAAGGTGAATTCTGATTGGTTCCCAGTGTTGTTTAAAATGGCAAGGGATATACTTGCTATTCCAATCTCTAATGTTGCATCACAATCATCATTCAGTACCAGTGGCAGGTAGTAGATGTCTTTAGGAGTTCCCTAACTCCTAAAATTGTTAAGGCACTAGTGTGTGTACAGAATTAGCTGAGTTAGTCAATCAACCTATATCTATTAAGAAAAAAAAATCAACCTATCTCTGTTGAGAAAAAAATTGATGATGTTGAAAGTATTAAAAAAGGTAAATACTTTAACTTACCTATTTTATTTTAACTTAGAAACTAATAAGTATTACCTATTTTATTTTAACTTACAATTTTTTTTATTTTTATTTTTTTTTTTTTTGCAGAGTTGTGCAGCACATCCAGCAATGGAGTTGGATCTTCACTACCTACAATAATACGTGTATGGCTATATATTTATTCTGAATTTCTAATTAAAGCATAAAGCATTTGATTATTTATTCTGAATTTATAATTAAAACATAAAGCATTTGATTACTTATTTTGATATTTGATGAATATGTTTGTATCGATGTATGTGTATTTGATTACTTATTTTGATATTTGATGAATATGTTTGTATCGATGTATGTGTATCAATGTCCCTCAGTCCATGATTCATGGGCAGGGAACCGTCCCTCAGTCCATGATTCATAGGCAGGGAACTCGAAAGTGTTCATGGCTTTGTAACATTTTAAATGATGCTATCATTGAGCTCTTATCTCTCTTATTCAATTACTAATTTATTCTTGTGCAATGCTTCCACCATATTGTCTGAATACATAGAATTGGGTTTGGTACGTTGCATGTGTAGTGTGGTGTTTATGCTATACTCATTGAGCAATTTGTCCTCAATCCTAAATTGATATGGAAAAATAGCAATCTGAGCACTCTATCAATTATCATGTTCAATTGTTCAAACGTTTCAATGGTTTGAAGTTTGAAGTGTAAATTCTAAGTCCTAAGTCTGTAAATTTGTATGTTTTGAATTTGAAGTGTAAATTCTAAATTGTAAGTTTCTTAATTCTAACTGTTGAACAGCTGAATTGTATACTGCGTAAGTTCTAAGTCTAACTACTTAAGTAGTCTAACTACTTAAGTAGTTAAGTGTTTGTAATAGACTGTCTTGTAAAAAATGAAAAACAAGTTATTTTAATTAAATAGATTTATTAATTTTTTCAAGTTACAATTTTTTATTACAAATATCTGTTTAATTCGGCCATATATCCTACAGTTTTGAGTGTATATAATAAATAAATAAACGAATAAAACCTCCAATATTCAAACCGAAATCCGCTCGAGGTGACCATATGTGAACCTGAACCCCGTCTGTTGCACAACCCTACTTATTGTTTGTAATTCAAATGAGAAACTGCAATTTTATATATTCATCTCATAATTTACCAGTTCAGTACTCTCTTAATTGATCTAGGACTTGTATTCCCCATTTTTACAATCGAGTACATCCATCACAAATAAACCACCATAGTGAATTAGTGAACGATTACGGGTACTATTGCAACTCCATATTAATTAAGAATGAAAACTACACTTGCCTTATAACTCAAGGACTAAAAAGTACAATTTTTCCTATAACCTAAATACAAGTAAAAAAACCCCAAAAAAAAAAAGAAAAAAAAAACTGACAATTATAATTATGTAAACAATAATTATTAAGAACATTAAACTAGACATTGTCTCATGTAGAAATTGTTATATTGCAAAAGAAACCTTCCATTGGCACAAGTAGAAATTTTTATATTGTCAAATTGTCATTTGGCACACTCAAACCAAAAAGCATAGTTCAACAGAAACATACCCATTAAATAACATCAATTTCTGCTTTTGTGGGGTAGGCATGAGGAAAATGCAAAACAACAATTTCTGCTTTTGTGGAGGCACGAGGAAAATGCAAAAGTTGTTGCATAACTCCAAACTTGAACTCCTCTGTTTGGTTATAAGAGGCAAAAATAATGAAAAGCTTTTCAAGTGCTGAAAAATAGGCAAGTACCTCCTTAATGAAAAGAATTTCAGACTGCCACCCGCTAAATGAGTCAAGCTTCAAAGTACGAAGCATTTTATTTGTTTGTGCCACGCCTTGAAGTTTTGACAAGAGTTTCGAAAAGGCGCGATTATATCTAATTTCCATCTCCTCAAGCTATAGAAAACCATCATACAAAGGGAAAAAAAAAAAAAAACTCAATCGAATTAGTAATTACACAACACAATTGAACTTAGGAATGCATAACAATACATAAACAAGTAAAATATCAGTGAACAGATGGACAATTTGTCCATGAAAATAAAGATTACCGCAGATACATTCAAGTCAAGTCTGCATAACTTGGGGCATGATTGCAGCAAATGAACAAGTGCAGGAGTTATTGTATCAGTTTGGTAAGTAAATGATAGCTTAAGCCTTTCCACATTTAGTTGAAATCCCATCCTACTAATTTCTTCAACAAATTTCTTGGAAATCAAATAGAAAGGAAGTAGGATTAGTTCCCTAAAAAAATAATACTCCACATATAAATAATAGGGAAAAAAATATGACTAAATACCTCGATATTTGAATATTGCAAATTCAGAGTAGAAATAGATCTCAAGTCCAAATTAACCGGAAGAAATTTGTCCAAACAATCAGAGTAGCAACCTGTGATTGTTAAATCACACAGCTTTGGAGCAGTCATGTTAAAATTAAAAATGTCTCCACAGCAATAAAATAATAGACTCTCGAGTACAGGAACATCAATGGCACAATGTGAAGGCTCTATAGGATCAAAGTTAACATACTCAAAACTAAGCAAATCAACATTTGGTAGTATGCAGGGGGATTTCATTGGTTGAACAACGACATAAGAAAGATGCAACCTCTTGAGCGTTGAACAAGAAAATATGTAATTCGGCAGCTTGTATATATTATACTGAAGACGAATGTTCATTTCCTCAACACCTTTCTGTGTAACTAAAAGTAACCACTGGTCGAGGGACTTTATTGTAAGTATCCCAACACCAACATCAACAAAATAGATAACAAATTTCTGAATAGTTCCATTGTGTTGGAGGAGAACTTTGTTGATCACATACCCCGGGGCATATTCCCTGAAATAATTGCTAGGATGACGTTGTGTCTTTTCCATATAAGAAAAGAAGTGACGATCAAAGTTAAGTTGTGTGAGATTGGACCAAACATCTCTCCAAATGGAAGACAGAACAGCGGTTTTAGCAGCATCTTTAATCGGCAAAAATCCCAAGATGTGGTCAAGTATTTCTACCGGAAGTTTACTGATTCTATCTCTTCTCCTCGGTGCCATAATCCAATAACCTTAACATATATGCAAATTAAATAACAAATGAATCAAAAACTAAATTGCAAGTCTTAAACAAGTATGAACACGAATATAATACCTGGGGTATGAAAGGTAGAAATAAGAAACGAAACAATTGAATTCAGAACAAACAAATTGCCTGCATTCAAATTTTGTATATGAACACGAATATAATACCTGGAGTATGAAAGGTAGAAATAAGAAACGAATCAATCAAATTCAAAACAAACAAATTGCTTGCATTCAAATTTTGTAAACACAGATTAAACTTTTGATCCAAAATTTTTTAAAACCATAATTTAATTCACAAAATATATATCAGCCATACCTATCAAGTAAACATCGGGTATAGTAGCTACTAGCTAGAATGAATCTTATTCACGGTGAAGTTGTATGGCGGAGATTGTTTGGCCTGCTATTTATGAGAGCATTTCCAAAGTGGAGGACAAGGCGGCGAGAAACGAAGAGGCCCATGAGGATAATCCAACTATGGGAGACGGGTTTGCTTCACCTTTCGCTTCTAGGCTTCAGCCCTAGTCAAATACTCAAATCGCATATTTAAATTTATTCAAAAAATTCGCTTTCAAGTGTAAATATTTTGTCAGTTTTTAACTAAGTAGTAATTGTCCCATTATTAATTTAACGAATTTACCAATTAAATTTTTGAGATCCTTAAAATTAACAAAGAAAGTAATAATTATGAAAACAGAAACACGTACATGAGTTCTTAAGCTTAGAATTAGTTTAATTAAAAATATAAGTATACTATACAATGTAATATTTAATATTTTTAAAAGTTTAATGATTCTATTATTATGCTGATTTTAAAGTTTATTGTTACTTGTATTATTATTTGAATTTGAATTTTTTTTAAAGTAATTTGAATTTGAAATAACTACTTTAATTATATAAGTAACGTATTTAAATAAAACTTGTAAATAAAATAATAGACGATATTTGTAAAAAATCTCCACCAAAAACTTATTCATTTGAAAAAGATTATTTATGTAAGAACTATATTTATTTTATATCTAATTTCTCCTCTTTATATATGTGAAGTCAAATTAATTATAATTGAGGTTTAAATGAATATATACACAAATTATATTAAATATAAATCTTTACCAATAAATGTTAACACAATAAACTTTTTTTCATACTTCATTATGCTTTAATATATATAGAGATAGAGATAAAGCTATAATAATAAAACATAAATATACACACAATGAATGCATTCATACTTGCTAAACTCAAGTGGACATGAACCAAGTGAGGAACCCCCCCTCACTTTGAGAGGTTTCTCTCACACTATCGTTGGTGAGACTCGATCTCTAGTCATTCTTCCAAAGTTTCACCTCTGTAACCAGTTGAGCTGCCCATGCGGGTATACTTGTTAATCTTGTTTCTATCAAAATGCATTCACACTTTGGAGAGAAAATTTTGTGGCTAGATTCTGCTTTATTATTATATATAAATATAAAGATAAAGATAAAGATAAAGAAGATAAAGATAAAGATTTGATTGGCGCGTGAGTGATTGTGCATCTTCATCTGAGTAAAATCCACTTTTGGTCCTACATTTATTGCGTAATGAACACATTTTGCCCGGTTTTATTACTTTCGCCACATTTTGCCCAACCTTTTTAAAAGGTGGACACTTTTAGTCCACCATTACATTTGTTGTTGATGAACCGTGAAGTGGGAGGACAATTGTGTCCTTTCACGTGCTATTCTTCACCAGCTTCTTGGTTTCATCATCGATCAAACCCAGAAGCAGAAGGGGAGGAAGATCCGTCGCTGTGAGAGTGGTGGTGGGAGGGGCGGAGTGCCTGTATACTTCATGGTAGCTAAATCAGGGTCGATTTTAGATCCAAAAGGGCGAACAAATGAGCCATTGAAGCGGTCGATTTCGGGTCCCACGAAACGGGTATGGCTGGGGAACTCACCATCAAAGTTTCTTTATGGTTAAACGACAGCTTGTTCGGAGCCTTTAAGGCGGCTGAAGAAGACGAAATAGACGACAATTCCTTAGCTTCCAAACTCAGCAACATTACGAGATTCTGCTTTAAAGAAACACAACAACAGAGATTGTTTATTGCCATGAAAGTGTAGAGCATCATCAAGAATTGAATCCTTGTAAACTACATGGCATAGCTTCAAAGCTTTAAATCTTTTTATTTGTTTTCCCCTTTTTCTAGGATTTTGGTTTCAAGGGTGGTTGGGTGGAAGACATATTTCTGAGCAGTTTTTAGAATTTAATTCTGCCTTTTGTTGGCCAGTCTAGCATTGTTGTTTATGTGAAGGTCTTCTACTTGAGGGACTTTGGGGTTGGAAGGAATTGCTCAGATTTTAGAAGGTCAAATTGGAATGGATCTATTTGCTGCGTCACAGACTCACAGTTTAAAGGGCCAATTTGATTGTCAAGTAGGGATAGCTAGGTGGCTTATGGCAAGAATCGGAAGAGAACAAAAAAATCTTTATCTTTATTTATGTAATAACTAGCCACAAAATTTTTCTTTCAAAGTGTGAATGCATTTTGATAAAAATAAGAATAGCAAGTATGAATTGCATTAATTGTGTGGGTAGATGTATTTATACATATCTTTTTTAAAGTTATTATGTGTATTTATATTTTATTATTATAGATCTATCTCTATCTCTATATATATTAAAGCATAATGGAGTATTGAAAAAAGTTTATTGTGTTCAAATTTATTGGTAAAGTTTTATATTTAGTATAATTTGTGTATATATTCATTTAAACCTCAATTATAATTAATTTGACTCCACATATATAAAGAGGATAAATTAGATATAAAATAAATATATACTTCTTACATAAATAATCTTTTTCAAATGAATAAATTTTTGGTGAAGATTTTCGATAAATATCGCCTGTTATTTTATTTACAAGTTTTTATTTAAATACGTTAGTTATATAATTAAAGTTGTTATTTCAAATAAAAAAATAATTCAAATTCAAATAATAATACAAGTAAGAATAAACTTTAAAATTAATATAATAATAGTATAATTAAAATTTTAAAAATATTAAATATTACATTGTATAGTTATACTTACATTTTAAATCAAACTAATTCTGAGCTCAAGAACTCAAGTACGTTTTTCTGTTTCCACAACCATTACTTTCTTTACTAATTTAGAGAATATCAAAAATTTAATTGGTAAATTTGTTAAATTAATAATAGTTCGTGCATCGCACGGGACAATTACTAGTAAATAAAAAGTCAAACAAAAAAAATAATGGGAATATCGTTGGCTTTCTCGTTGTAGCATCTTCATTGCAGTTTGGGCTATTTGTTCTTTACTATTTACTCACAAATTGAAGGCTGATGAAGAATAGCACGTGAAAGGACACAATTGTCCTCTCACTTCATGGCTCATTAACAGCAAATGTAATTGTAGACCAAACATGTTCACTTTTTAAAAATGTTGGGTAAAATGTGACTAAATTAATAAAACCGGACAAAATGTGTCTATTGCGCAATAAATGTACGACCAAAAGTGAATTTTACTCTCTTCATCTACTATGATTATTATTATTATTATTATTATTATTATTATTATTATTATTACTAGTATTTGCGCCCGTGCGATGCACGGAATGAATTTGTTGTAATATATTAAGAATATTTTGATTGATATATAATTATTTAAATTAGAACATCAAATATTATATAGTGCAATTGAAGGTATTGTTTGGATCGTTTATGTGTTTTTATGTTATTAATTGCTCAAATTAATAGCTAATATGTAGATGTACGCATGCGGCGCTATAACTTTGGAGATTTTATTTATCATTATTTAGTATTTTTATAAATTAGGCAAATTTGCTCGTTCTCTAGCAATTCAGTTATAAAAATTAATTGATATCCTAATTTATTTGTATGGAAAATATATTTCTTGTCTAGATATATAGCAATTTTGCCATTTAAAAAAAAAACATAATATCACAGATTATATTTTACAAACTATTGAAACCTCTTTGTAGACAAATTGGTAGTAACAACACAATCTTGTTCATCTTCGTCTAGAGCTAACACCTTTAGTCCAAAAGGATGGGTGACTCGGGTGAAAATATATAATGGTAGAATTTCAGTCAATTAGTGCTCCTTTTTATTTTCAGTCAATTAGTAATATCAGATTCATTATCAGTCAATTATTTTTTTTTATTTCCAGTCAATTAGTCAATTAGAATATTAGATGCATTGATATTTTTTCATAATATTCGTTCCATTTTTAATTGATGATTATAATATTTTTATTGTAATATTTTCGTTCTATTTTTAATTTACCTTTACTATCGTTTAAAATATGCATTTACTATTGATGATGTAGAATATTATTATTGAAATATTTTCGTCTAATTTTTAAGTTTCGTCCTATTTTTTAATTAAAATGCAATGATCTGTCAATTTCTTTTTTCATTTTAGTCATTTTTTATTTGCAGTCAATTATTAATATTCATTTCCTTTTATAATTTCAGTCAATTAGTAATATCAGATTCATTTTTAGACAATTATTCTTTTTAATTTTCAGTCAATTAAAATATCAGATACAGTGATATTTTTACCTATTTGAACCATTTTTAATTGATGATGTAGAATATTATTATTGAAATATTTCCGTTCCATTTTTAATTTCTATTCCATTGTTTAAAATTTTGAAAGATTTATGATATAATTGTGATTTGATTTATTCTACTGTGTAATATTATTGTGAAAAATTAAAATGCAATAATCACAATTTTCTTTTCCATTTTAGTCAATTATGGATAATTTTTTATTTTCAGTGAATTATTAATATTCATTTCCTTTTCCAATTAACGTAATTTCTGTTTCTTTTTTCATTTTTAATTTTCAGTCAGTTATTAATATTCATTTATTTTCCAATTTACCTAATTTTTGTTTCATTTTTTAATTGATGATGATGTAGAGAATTATTGCGATATATTTCTTTTTATTTTTTAATTTACCTTTACTATTTACTATTGTTTGGGCGGAAAATCAAGTAAATAAAATTTTGTTTTTAATTATACTATAGATTTACCAACAATCCAAACACTCCCTTAGTATTCCATCAAAAAACGAATAAAGAAAAGTCACTTCATTAAGAAAATTAAAACTAAGTAAAGTAAATCGTCTAATCATGTTATATTTATTTGAAACTGTATATTAATCTCATTTTGAAATCATTGGTTCACATATTTATTTTTTCTTTAATTATTATAAACAGAAATGATATTGTACACATAATTAAGATGATTTATTCCTAATTGTATTTCATATATATTATAATTCTAAATATATGAATACTAACTAAGAGAATTGTACTTATAAATCAATAAAAAAAACATGTGTATATATATATATATATATATATATATATATATATATATATATATCGAACGCATTTTCTTATATGATTGTATAATACATTGTATATATACATAATGTTTATTAATATGTATATAGAAAAATTCTATAATATAATTTCATTAATTATAATTTATATTGATATAATTATAATTAAA